TCTGTTCCTCCCCCTGCATCTTGATATCAGAACATTTTAAAGTTGAATAATATCCCAATTCTTATACACTTGTTGATCTATTTATTCCTATGTGGTTATGTGAGTTGCTCTTGGTTTGTGACAAGTACAAATATCATTGATACAGATGTTGTAAGTTTTGCTCAATGGCACAAATGTTTTATCTCATTCATCTTTTTTTTCCGATTCAGTTCATTGACCTGAAGCAACTTTTTTTCTTCCTTTCCAGGCTATGCCCATCTCTATCATTCTCTATGCTTTGAGGAACCATGTATTTGCAGTAATAAACTTCTGGAGACCCAGAAGGGTATCAGATGGAATTTCCAAATGCCACTACTAACTACAAGATAACAATGGTGAGAAGAAGATAAGGAAAAACATCACAGAGCATCAAAGTAACCAAATGGTTTTTTTTAAATCAATCTTTCTTTCAAGTTATATTTTCAACAATAAGGTCTAAACCTTTGATGATTTTCCTGTTAGGTGAGGGGATAAAAATAGAGATGTTAAGAGATGTTTTCCCTGCAATGTGAGAGACACATCTACATAATTTATTTATTCCTCTATCGAAGTATCATTTGACACTTTTCCCTAGAACGTGTATTCAAAAACTTCAAAGAGTTCAGGGACTTCATGCTCCATTTCCTTCCTCTAGGACAGAGCACATATGAAATAGCCAATACATATTTATGAAATAAGTGAGTAAAATTAATTATTAGAATGAACTCTTACATTCTAGTCATTGTGAGAGGCAATATAGAATACTAAATCACACCATGTCTGCCCTAACCATGCTTACGACCAACGAGGAGAAGGGAAAGATTGAGGAGAGCTTGGGGGCGTGGGAGGTTTGACATGGAGGAAGGGTGGATATAGGGGCAGGTAGAAGAGAAGATATCTTAATTAAGGGAGTTATTTTAGGGTTGGCAAGAGACTTAGCTCTAGAAGGGATCCCAGGTGTCCACAGGGATGTCCCCAGCTAGGTCCTTGGACAGCAGAGGAGAGGGGGCCTGAACTAGCTTTGTCCCATAGTCACACTAATGAATAGCTCGAATATCACCATAGAACCTTTGTCCAGCGATGGATGGAGATAGAGACAGAGACCCACATCGGAGCACTGGGCTGAGCTCCCAAGGTCCAGTTGAAGAGCAGAAGGAGGGAGAAGATGAACAAGGAAGTCAGGACCTTGAGGAGTTGGTCCACCCATTGAGACAGCGTGCCTGATCTAATGGGAGCTCACCAAATCCAGCTGGACTGGGACTGAATGAGCATGTGATCAAACTGGACTCTCTGAATGTGGCTGACAATGGGGGCTGACTGAGAAGCCATTGATAATGGCACTGGGACTTGTTTCTACTGCATGTACTGGCTTTTTGGGATCCTAGTCTGTTTGGATGCACACCTTCCTAGGCCTGGATGGATGGGGGAGGGCCTTGGGCTTCCCACAGGGCAGGGTACCCTGCCCTCTCTCAACACTGGAGGGGGAGGGAGGAAGGGGGAGTGTGGGAGCAGGAGGGGAGAAGGAGGAGGGGAGGAAATGGAAACTTTGAATGGAAAAATAAAATTATATATATAACATATATATAAACTTTTTTTGTATTTCAGATACTGTAGATTTCTTTGGATGGAATATTTAGGTAGATATTATAGAGAATAATAAAAAAGTCATGCTCATTATTATTAATTTTAGAAAGATTATTACCTTTTGTGTATGTATTTTTTAAGCTTGATTCTAAAATTACTAATTTGCAAACCCCGTCTTAAAACCAGTTTGATTGAATTGCTGGAAGCAGATGTTCTCTCCTGAGGCACTATCTGACCAAAATGGATTGGAGCATTTCCTGACTTCTGAGAATGCTTACTCTTCCTAACTCAATTCAAAATCGGCTTAGCTTAAAAAGAAAATTTATTTAACAATGAAGTGAGACTGTGAACTGAATGGGCAGACAAGGCAAACAGCTACCGTATGTTTTATGGGTAAAGATGAACAGGAAGTAAGAAGACGGCTGAGAGGAGAAGCCATTTTCAGGCCCTTTGCAGGGTGTGAGTTTGATGGCCAGTAGCTAGCATGAAGAAGTTGAAGGGGCTATAGGACTTTAGCTCACATTACTCTTTTCACCCATGCTTAAAAGACTTTGATTTTTAAAGGTGGGTGTCCTACGTAGTTTTAACTGTCTGTGTCATGTAGTTTAGCGTCACCTGAGAGGACAAACGTTGGTTGAGGAATTAGCTAGCTAATATAAGCTTGTGAGCATGAAGATTGTGAATTTTTAATTAATTGATGCAATTATAATTGCGCTGTGAGTGAGACCATCCACAGGCAGGTAGTCCTGGTTGTATAAGAAAGCTGCCTCACCACGAGTCTATATGGAAAGCAAGCCAGTTAACAAGCAGCATTCCCCCATGGTTGTTGCTGTGCTCTCTTGCTGTGCATTCCCTGGTCTGAGGTCAAACTACACAGAACAGCAAGCAGTGTGACCTCCAGGTTTCTGCCTTGATTCGCTGCCTTGACCTCCCTCAAAGATAAACATGACCTGGGAGTGTAAGATGAAATAAACCCTCTCTACCTCAAATTGCATTTGTCAACGTGTTCTATCACAGAAACAGAATGAAACTAGAAAAATAGATCACTGTGAAACTCCACGGTAAAACTTGAAGGGCATTCCCCATGTTGTGCGTAGAACACAGACCCATTGCAAGATTTAAAAAAATCTAAGAAAATAGCTATGCTTTTTCTCTTTTGATTTCTAACTACCATGCATGTGACACTCTGATTCTTAACCACAACAGACTCAGAGAACAATAGAGATTGATAGCAAACTCTGTATTAATTTTCCAGTAAGTATGATGGATTTTTTGGTACGTTACAACTTGACTGGGTTATGATGACTAGCTGTTCAAATACTAATTTGCATTAGATTGCCAGTGAGTGTGATGATTTCTTCCATGTCATGAATTGCCTGCGTTATGATGACTAGCTGTTTGTTCAAATACTAAAGTAGATGTTGGCTATACAGATGTTTGTGGATGAGGGAATGTTTACAGTCATTTGAATGGAGCATGTTGCCTGTTATCATATGTATTGACCTCACCCAACCAGTTGAAGAAGTTAGGAGCAAATATTTAAGTTTCCAGAGGAAGAGGCAAATCTTATTTAAAAAAAAAAAAAAAAAAAAAAAAACTGTGTCTTAAAGTGTCCTGGACACATCCTCACAATGCATTTGGACAGAGAGTATTTCTCAAGTACATCTTACAAAACAATATCTCCCAGGATGCATAATTAATCTACTACCCTAGAAAGAATACTTTAAAAGGCTAGGGCAGTTTCAAAAACACAAAAAAGTGAATATACAGGCCCTGCTGTTTCAGCAAGCATCTCCAATCTTTCCTGGAAGTGGCACCACAAATCGCTCGGTTATCATGACGGTACAACGGAGGAAACTGGGCTCACAGGGACTGATGGACTATCCTCAGAGACAGTGCAGCTAACTCTGCGATCTGAATCTCACCTGCTGCCCCAACAAGCTGCCTTGAGATTACTGGCATTAGTCAGAAAACGGATGCTTATAGATCTCCCGGCCAACGAACTCAAAGTGAGCTGGTTCTCGTTCAAACTGAAGGGATATGAGGATCTGTTCTGCTAGTGAGAACATTAGGAGTTCCTTGAGCAGAAGTTCCAGTACATCTCATTCTCATCCCTAAAGATAGACCTACCATGTCCTCATGACACTATGAACTGTTTCCAGGGAGAGAAAGAGAATTTGACCAAAATGATTGAGCATTATCTTTCTTCTCTCTGTCTTCCCCACAGTGATTTCGAATAGATGGGAATTTTCTTTGGCCGTGGCATCCTTGCACAAAATACGAAGGCTCCCTGGCTTTTAACAATGCTAAATGGGTTTACTGAATTTAAATGATCACTCGCGTGTTTCACAGTGCTGTCTCTCCTACCTTGATTTTTATTTATTCAGCTTAATAGTATTTCCTATAAGGGAAAGAATTTACCCACCCCTCCACAGGAAAACAGGCCCTCTTTGCCCATCCTTGGTCTGAACGGCCAAGGCCCTGCACAGGTTCAGTCTGACTCCTGCAGTCCTGTTCAGACGAATGCCAACCCCATTATGTTAGTAAGATGTGATCTCCCCTCTTTCTCACTGGGGAGCAGGTGGACCCAGACAGTTCTTTGGAGCCGCACAAGCGATTTCTCTCTGGAGAGACACATCTCTCTAGTCTGCCAAGGAATGAAAATCCAAACAGTCACATAGATCACTTCAAATGGTGCCAAATACATTCCACCAAATGCTACTGGCAGTAATTACAGCATGTCATTGGGAGATGCGATTTTCTTCCAGCGTCAGACTTTCATCTTATCCTGAATGCCATGAAACCAAGAAACTAAGAGTGTCTCTCCGCAGAAATAGTGGGTCCTTCAAACCTGCAGCCCTGCTTCTTGACCGTGAAATGTCTGGAACCAGGAATTAAGAACCCTACTGTAGAATATACTGTCTTTCCCACTCACCAAGTGTATCAGCTCCCCCCAAAATTAGGCAAAGTGATAAATAAAGACCACCATTTTGTACAAATAGGGCTGAGGGAAGGCATAACCTGTTGTGCCTCAGGAAAAAGAGCACTCTTTAGAAAGAATGGAAAGTCCTGAGAGCCAAAGAGATGCGGCTTCTCTTCAGGAGGCAAGAACATCCCAAAGTCTACCAGGAAATTTAGATTCCACTGCAAGACTGCCTTTCATGCAAACAAGACCAGGAAGTCACACCAAGGGACAGAGAAAGGCCAGGGACAAAGCAGCGTGGAAAGCCAAGTTTTTAAGAAGATAAAAGACTAATAATAAGAAGCGATGGGGAGCTGCAGAATGGCGAGGAAAGGCAGAGCCACCTAGGAGGGGTGAGACGGGAGGAGGGAGTCTGCAGGGAGGGGGGAGAGAGCAGAGAGCGGAGCACGGACGTCAGGAACAAAAGCCCCGGCAGCAGAGTCTGGGGAAGGAAAGGAGAGAGCATGGGGTGTTTTTGAATAATTATTAAAATGAGCATGTGTCTGCGCCATCCTGTGGGTGTGGCGCAGAGCGGAGTGTAAACTCTAGCGGGGCCGAAGCAAACATTGGCTTAGCGGCAGCAGCTGCCAGTCTGTGCCTAGGAGTGTGGGGATCAGCGCGCGGCGGCAAGCAGACCAGCACCATGGCCTCCTCTCAGGGGAAAAACGAGCTGAAATTCGCCGACTGGATGGCAACTCTGCCTGAGAGCATCCACAGCATCCCCCTCACCAATTTAGCCATCCCAGGTAGGGACCCGCTGCACCTGCCCCGCCCTGCTTCATCCTACACTCAGTGCTAACTTGCCTTGTGCCCGCGGGAGGGAAGCTCGTCCACGGGGTGGGTACCCAGGTTTTCCAAACCTTGGAGGACCCTGGCACTGGGAGTCAAGGTGACTGGTTCCCCTGGTCTTCAGAAGCAGGTTGTGCTCGTAGGGCTGGGGAAGGGGAGAAGGTGGTTCCAGGATCGCGTCCTGGTCCCCATTCTATGGTTTTCTCTGAAGATTCAAGGGGTCTGCTGGGGGCAAGGCAGGTCAGGTTTCTTAATCTGTGGCTCCATGGTGCGCTATGGAAGGAAGCTGGCTGTCTTAGGAGTTCAGCTCCGGAACATCACTGAGTCCATCCTTGGCGTGGACTTAGGAGGATTTGGTAGTTTCACTGTTAGAATCTAGCCCAATCATTAGTATTCGTCCCCAGTCTCCTTTAAAGAGACAAAGCGCTTTCTGAAGAGTGATGAAAGTTCAGGGGCCAGTGGCCGGTGGCAGTGGCGGCAGCAGCATAATCATTGTCCTTGACACTGAGCTGAAGGGGGCAAGAAGCAGAAGCAGAAAGCAAGCATTTCCTGATTGGCTTGGACGCGGAGGGAGTCTAGTCAAAGAGCTGCTTCAGGTAGAGCTCCTAGGTGAGGAGGACAAACCCTTGCAAACCACACATTTGCTGCTCCAGACAGAAGCCAGGCAGTGAAATCCGCGTGAGCAGCAGTGTAGAGGTGGGAATGAGCAGATTTCCCCCGGAAAAGGTGACTGAGCTGGTGGCCTAGAGGAAAGGAAGCTTAGGACCAGCCAGGTATAGATGTGTGGCATCAAGAGGATTTAGCATAGTGTGCACAGAGGGCTGGCCAGCTTTCTGGGTCCGAGCACTCCATAGTCCCTAAACCCAGTATCTAAGAGGGGTGATTGATTGTTTCTGGACAGTTTACAAGTGTTGTAGCTGGGGAAATGCCTCTTTTTCTTTAACAATACGGTTATGCGCATGGATTGAGGGTTTGCACATGTGACTCTTACAAGACTAGGCTGGAGGGGAAATTAGTCATGGATAATCAACCCCCTGCCCAGAGTAGAGCTTGAGTTATTAAATTCAACCTTCTGGTCTACTTCCTCCGACCTGTCCTCTCCACCTCCAAAACCCCACGAAAACATGAGCTTGGAGGACTGGAGTGGACGTGAAACCTAAGAAATAAGGAGAGAAGGAAGAGAAATAAAACAGGTTTCTGGAAAAATCCCGAGTGTCTAATGGACAAGCAAGCGCTGGAACTCACCAGCAACTTAACTCATTTGGAGTGGATACTTGGTGGCAAGGGCAGGCACAGGCTGAACAGCTCACTGTCCTCAGTAAAAGGTTGTCTATCCCTTTGTCCTTCCTCAAGGAATGACTTCCCAGGGGCCTAGGTGTCTCTCTGGTAAAGCACAAGCCAGCTTCCCCTCTGCATCAGTTTCATTCTTCTGGTGAGTCTGTGGGCTGCTCTTTTGAAGGACTAGAAAGCACACAACTTCCTTAAGTGAAATGCCTCTCTCACTCCCCCAGGCATCCTCTTCTTCCTTTGCTTTCAGTTTGTTTTCTTAGACGACTATTTTCACTTGGTCCACCTGCTTCTGGCACCGTGCTGGTAATAACGTCAAGGACCGAGGTGCTAGCTTCCTGTAAAGAGAGTCTCTAGAGATGCCAGGAGGTTAAACGCCTGGGGCAGCATAGCAGCTCTGAGGAACAGTGGGACGCCACATTTGTGTCTCACCATACACAAAGTCCGTAGCACTTCACTTTCCAAAGCCAGTTTATGTCTGCTAGCTCACATCCTTCCAAAAACCCTGTAAAGTACTCAGTGCTGGGATTACCATTTCCATTTCATAGACTGAAAACAAGCAGCCTCCCACTCAGGAAAAAAAAAAAAAAGACCCAGAAATTCAGTGCGGGCAAGTGACCTAAAATCTGATTAGTGATCTAATCCCTAAAATTAAAGATTTTATAGAGTATTTCTTAGCAATGAGGGAGTAAGGGCATCATGATAGACAGTGAGTATAACGGAAAAGCAACAAGTTCTCACAGAGATGAGAAGCGAGGCACCTGTAGACACAGGGTAATTTTACTTTTCTCTTTCATGGGACTAAGTGGAACTTTGGGGTCAGAGACTTCGATTTTCTGCTGGTCTCTGGTAGAGACATAAACATGACGATATTTGGAAGATATGAACTTTATATAGAATTCCTAAGCCCTTTTAGTATAAGATTTGAAGTAAATGGCACACAAAGTTTGCACTTTCACCCCAATATTTCCAAGAAACACACACACACCATTTCACCAAATTTACATCCCCAAATACCCATATGGTTGTACAAAAATAGGTTTGCCAAAAATTCTTAACTGTGAAACTGGGGTTAAATTGAGTCTGATACCTTTCTGCATTATTCAACACAGAATTTTTGGAGAAAAAGAAGTCATTCAAATTTTGATAGAGCGGACTAATTGGAGACTATTAAACACTAATGGAATAATTGCCTTAAAATCATGCTAATAGCTTCCTGGCTGCTACATGTTTACTTGGCCAGTTGCTCTAGCTTGAATTAAGCAATTATCTCCACCATTTAAAACACGTCTGGTGCACAAGGCAAGTGTTTCTGCGGAGAGGAACTGCTGCTCAATCGTCCTCAGCCTCAGGTTTTCTTAGGTGAATCATATGGGGGGTGAAGAGGCAACTAATTGTGAGGCCACTTACTTGGGGCAGCTGTCTTAGATTGCCTAAGACCATAGCAAAGAACAGCGTGTGTTTGTGTGTGCACGCGCGTGCACACGCATGTGTGCTCTAGCCCCCACTAGTGTGCAGTTCTGGTGTCCTTGAATGTTTTTCAAACGACTGTGTCTTGAATGCATTCAGAACTGAGTCTCTCAGTGATGTTCTGCCTTTAAAGACTTCATGTTTTGGTATGGACTGGGCTAAACGATTGTTAGTAGCTGGTATTAGTGAATTATTTTTAATTAATATATTATTCAAAGACAGAATACTGAAAGAACACGCAGTTGTTCAAATTTCAGCCTTATCATTTTCTTTTCTCTGATGAAACCAAAGTTATGGCATTTGGAAAATGAATGATGCTGGCTCTCACCGCAAGCAGGTCAGAGAGGTTAGGAAGACAAAGTACAAAATCCAAGTGAAGGTGAATTTGATGAATATTTGGCATCTTTAAAGAGTTATAATTTGAACCACAGTGTCTCTAGAGCCATTAAAAAGAGATTTGTCATGGAAGTCTGTGGTGTGTTGATTATGGGAGTGACCTGCTATACACTGTCTGAGATATGATGAAAATCATTCATGCATAGTCTGACTCGATCACCCCATACAGAATAATTATCAAAATGTAGGACTGGCGTGCCAGGAAGAATGTGTGCACTCCTGAACAGCAAGTAGTTAATGGTGTTTAGATAGAGAGACAAATGCTTTAGAAAACAGTGATTATGAGGGGAGATTTTATTTCCTTTAGAAAAATGCCAACACCAGCCCAAAAGAAGAGTTTCGTCCAACTGATTTCTCATCCAAGTGCTTTAGCTTGTATTCATGTCGTCATTTGCTTTGTTAATTTTTGTATTTGTGTGGTACTGTATGCTGAACCTGCTGGCGCACTTGTGATGGCACGTGACCTACCTCTTAAGGCCTTTATTCATTTTAACTTTTTGCCTCATGGTAATCCTTTTATGCTGCCCACATTCTTAGAGTTAATTTACCTCTTCTTTTTTATTTTTTTTTCAGATTTTTATTGCATTTTTAATCACATGCATGAGTTTTTCTGGTATGTGCCTGTAAGTACAGGTGCCCTTGAAAGCCAGAGTAATGGATGCCTCCAGAGCTGGAGTTGCAGGCAGTTGTGAGTCTCCTGACATAGATGCTGGGAACGGAACCCGGGCCTTCTGCAAGAGCAGTGTGCACTCTTAACCTCAGAGCCCTTTCTCTAGCCCCCTTCCTCCTCTTTGCAATCTTCTATTTCTACTTTAATTGAAATGGAGCAGCCCATAGGGTCAATCAGGCACAGGAATCTACTTGGCCACATTTCTAAAACTGCGCGTACATTTGGTCAGAATGGCCATACGAAGCAAACCTTCCATCAATCAAAATACAACAAGACTCTTCAGAATGAGTATCTCTCTGTGTTATCTTGCCAATTACCCATTGGACTTGATTTTTCTAAGTAAGAAAAACTGAAGAATATCTGGAGGGTTGGGCATTTCAAAAGTTACTTTTTGAAATTCATACATAAAAGTTAAACTACTTTGTTCTATTAAAACTTTTTCATGATGATTTGAATTGAATTCTCAAATATTGTTAACTGACACCATATATATATATATATATATTACAAGTTGTTGCATATAGTGTTTTCCCATAAACACATATGATTTTAATGTGTTCTATCAATGATCTTCTAGGACCTTGTCACTCAAAGCTGTCCAGGTAGGACCACCAGATCATTATACATAGACTCATGGTAGAAATATACAGCATCTATATTCCACTCTCCCAATATATTTGATCATATTGTACAATTTAACAAGATAGTCAGAAAATTCATATGCACATTTGCAGTCTAAAAAACACTTTAGAACATCGTTAAGGGGGAGCTTTATTATGTGAGTGGCAGAGCCAAACTTAAGTATACTTCTTTGTTGACCTACCCATGAGCGTTCAAGTTTCCAACCAAGCTTAAAGCCAGAGTTCCATATTTGATTAATATGATTCAAGGCTAATTGCACAGGCTGGGAACATGTCTGATAACTGGCTTTATAGCTCAGCATGAACTTTAAATGCTATTTAATTGTTATTTAAGTGTTCAGATTAGGTCACTATGATACATGTAAAACCTTCCCCTTCATTTCTTTAAGCCCTGCTGCTCACTGATATTGACTATCAACAACACTTAAGATCAGCCCATCCAGTGATGTAGGTGGATACTAGTGCCGGCTTAAAGAAAGAAAGACCTCTACAC